TCTGTGAGGTACGGTTGTGCACCAAATGCACAAAAAAGCATAAAATAAAAAAGCAGACATAAGGAAAAAATGTATTAAAACCAAAAGTGGACATCATGATACTACCAGATATACGCGTAGCATTATACATTGCAAATGAACGTTGTCAGCCTAGGGAGTTTTCTATATTAATGCATTTATTAGTGATACTTGCACTTACCCATTTCATTACACTTTATTGATTCACCTTAGCACTTTTACTTTTCTAAAATCAGCTTTCAATCCGTTGTAAACGTTGTACTTACCTCAATATTGGTTGGTTATCGTATGCCGACAACCACGGGATGAAAACGAAACGAAGTCGATTTTCCCGCTCAACCTGGAGGACAATTGTACAATTCAATAACTATACAGCCTAGTTCAGACAATGTGTATTTATATATATATCAAATATTTAACTGTTGAAACATTATTAACTTGTAGACAATCTACGATTTGATATTATATCATACTTGATCGTGCCTGTAAAAATGGCATGCATTTTCATGTAAATTTATATGTTTATATGAGAATATATATTATATTATACTTGAGTTCATGGGTGTCTGTTTCATTGTGGATGACAGCACCAACGACGACTGTTTGATATCAGTTGATGAAGTTAGTGGTGGATCAGAAGCTGTTGTTGCTCGACTTTCAGAAATTTGTCTACCTGCAAGACCACCACCACTGCTGTCTTTCACTATCAGCTCCGCTTTAGGACTAGCATCTGATGATAGGTGGGCTTCACTCTGATCAATTACACTAACGGTCTCACAAGTATCCATACCTTCTGGAACTGCATCTGCATTCAATTCTACTTCACGTTGTAGTTGTACAGAACCTTTATTTAACTTAGCAGTAGTAGGCATATTCCTCATCTCATCATGATCAACCAAAGACAAATCTGCACTGTCATGATCATTACCACAAATATTCAATTTACCGTCAAGTTCATCATTTTCAAACTCTTTAGTAACAGAAGTAGACAATTTTGGTTCCTCCTCACAAATCATTAAAGGTTTTATATCTTCACTCTGACTAGTAATACCTTTTAAAATTGTGGAGTCAGAACTGCACCCTGAAGCAGTAACTCTCCTCTGTGACACTGTATTCAAGAATGGCTTACTAGTTGCAACTACAGACTTCTTGACCGCACCGTTATCGTCACACAATTCGGAGTCAGACCTGGAGTTTACATTTAGCTTATCACTGAACTTACTCACTGGTTCACAGTTCACTTCTGTATGCACCTCTTGCAAACGTGTAAAACACAACCGTGTTTGTCTTCCATCTTGTAACTTATCTGCTGAGGATGTACTACGAAACCTGTTGCACTCACTAAGTTTATATGCATTACTATACATCATGGAGCCTTCTCGATATCCACCTCTCTGAGGCTTATTCGTCATCAATGAGTGCGTTTTACCCTCAGACTGCTCTATTCTAGGGGTGAGATCTAATAGACTGGAAAACTTGCTCATAGATTGATTGACGCTATCTTTTACCAGTTTCAGGATATCATCAAACTTTGGCTCGATACCCTCATCCTCCATACGGGAGCTTATCTTCACCCACTTCCTTTGCAGTCGAGTAGGTAGGCGTCTTGCTATTACTTCTAGTATAAAACTCGAGTTGAGGTCACTCATGCGATTCATCGAAATCATTGCATTCTTGTAAATTAGCAAATTATCTAAAAACTCAGTGAGTGCCTGGGAGTCATCCTGTAATTGACCACCATTACCCTTAACAGCTTCGAATAATTTCCCTGCAATCATCGAAGGTCTTCCAAACCTTTGACGTAATGTGCTCATAGCCTCGTAGTAGCCCTCTTTGGGCTTCATAAACTTACAACACTGTATAGCTCTTGCAGCATCTCCAGTGCAATATCTCATCAAATACATTAACTTCAATTCATCATTTAATAAAATTACACTCAACATGATCTCAAACTCCTTTACAAATTGTAAATAATCAGCCGGGTTTCCATCAAAACACCGTGGTTCAAATTTAGGGAGTTTGATGTTCCTATTATCCCTGAACGGCGAAACAGTAACATCAACCATGTCATGCTTAACATCAGACACATCGTTACAATTAACAGACAAGTCACCATGACTTACTTTCCTGTTTGCATCCAAGACACTCTGTCCCTTCTTTGACCCAGGCATTGTTGAACTTGACCCAATTTCAAAAAGTTCCAGATATTGCTTGTTCAAAGAGGACTTGACCGGCTCGAGGGAAGATTGACGGAAACTATCCCAAATGTTACAATCTGTCACCAACCATCAGAAACTGTCAGTCATGTCTCGTAGACCGTTAATGCCCAGCTCTTGCTACGCTGGGACTCACGCTGTTCCTTGAAATTTCTCAGAAACGCTTAGTAATAACGGACGCATAAACGAAAACACCGATTGGCCGCTTCGGAATTCTTTATTGTAACACCAACATATAAAAAGTATTTCTACTAAGGTCTGTGAACAAATATTAGAATAATAAATCACAAGATGGTTTACTGCTGACTTCTTTATGAACAGCGACCGATGAGACGATGACTGGTGTATTGATGCCTCCGCGAAATTATAGAGAAGTTTGGTTTTAGCAAACAACCATGAATTGATCGTTCAATCTTCAATTACATTGACAAGGCTATTGAGACGGCGAAAGAACTTATGGGACCACTTTATTATGACAGGAAGGGAAAATTTTCAGAAAGACTACCGCAAAATTCGAAATCTCTGTAAACAAGAGATTAACAATAATCGTATAGAGTACGAGAGACGGCTAGTACTAGATTGCGTTCATAACCCAAAAAGGTTATACTCGTATATTAGACGTAGGACTAAAACTAGCAGTGTTATACCGTCACTCATAACCATTAGTGGATAAGCGGCTGAGTCAGACGAAATAAAGGCTCTAAACCTCCCTGAATATTTCTGTGACGTCTTCTCGTCTGATAGTGCCACCACGGGGTATGGTGAGGTCACTGCCATCGCCACTCAGATGTCCTCAATTGTGATAGAGCACACAAAGGTCCTCAAACTACTGTCTAAACTGAAGCCAGGTAAGTCACCTGGGCTGGATGGACTTCACCCCAAACTGTTAATTTGCTTGGCGAATATAATATATATCCTGCTTACGGAGATTTTCCAAATGTTTCTGATGCAGGCTAAGCCACCCAGGGACTGGAAGGATGCCATTATAAGCCCTTTCTTCAAAGAGGGGGATAGGCAACCGGTATTAAACTACAGGCCGGTGAGTCTGACATGCATTATTGCAAAGGTATTGGAAACTATTATAAGGGATTAGCTATTAACTTATGTTGAAACGCATGGTTTGTTGGCTGTGGAACAGCATGGATTCCGACCAGGACGATCCTGCCTGACAAACCTACTATTCGCTAGGGAGGACTGGGTTGAGGCTAGAGATAAAAACCTTCTGTTGCACGTGGTTTTTATTGATCTTAGCAAGGCATTCGACAAAGTACCCCACTTAAGTCTCCTTAGTAAACTTAAAGGTTTCAGCCTAGACCAATGCCTATGTGAGTGGTTTAGAGATTACCTAATGGATAGAAGGCAGAAGGTTAGAGTTAACGGTGTACTATCAGGATGGAAAGCAGTATCCAGTGGAGTGCCCAGGGGAAATGTATTAGGCCCCTTGCTATTCCAATTATACATTAACGAATTAACAGGGATTCTTACTTCATCTTCATTATTATTTGCAGACGACATTAATATATGGAAAACGGTAAATAATAACGAGGATAGGTCGGCCCTACAAACTGATTTAGATAAATAATCTGAGTGGTCAAGCCTATGGAGCCTGAGAATGAATGCTGGGAAAAGCGCGATAATGCACTTAGGTCAGAAGTCTTATACGTCGTACTCCCTAGGGGACACAGAACTACCTGATGTTAACGAACAGAGGGACCTGGGAATCATTGTCAGCAATGATTTGAAAACAACTGCAAATTGCAATGCAGCCGCAGCTAAAGCTTTTCGAATGCTATGGGCAATTCGAAGGGCTTTCAAACGACTAGGCGAGGGCGTGTTCCAAATACTCTACGCAACATATGTCAAGCATCATCTAGAATACTTCATACAAGCAGCGAGTTCATGCTTCAAAAAAGGGGCACATATTCTGGAAAGAGTACAGAGAGTAGGAACAAAATTAGTTAGTTGTATCTCACACCTTCCTTATGATAAGAGGATGGAGCATTTAAATCTCTCCCCTTTATCACACCGAAGGAAGACAGGCGACTTAATTTTAGCATACCGTATACTAATGGGTGACTTAGGAACTGACCTTTCTAACCCTTTCTCCCCTTCTAAGATACATTTACGGGGTGACTGCAAAAGGGTGCTCAAACCGAGGACGATTAAAATACGTGCAGAATTTAGATTCTCCCACAGAGTGGTCAACGATTGGAACGCCTTACCTGATTCAGTAGTATTAGCTCCATCGGTGGACGCTTTCAAAGAGAAGTTAGATCTCTGCATAGGCATATTTTACAAGGATTAACACAGGCCACAAGAGCCTTCTATCCTTATCATCTGAATCTGAAAATACACAACTAAAATCATGAACCTTTACATTCAAACCAAAAGGCATTCAGCAGTACAACTGCAGCAGAATTCTGTGAAGCTTCAAAACCGTCTCCGGTGACCCAGAAGTGGGCTTCATAAAGTCACTGATATTACACAACCTCGTCACAGAGATATTGAATATTTGACGTAGTAATTTTGGTCACGCCGAGGCCAAGGGGGAATTCAACACGTTGCGTTGCACTTAAGTCTATATTGTTGTTTTTTCCTCATGCCTTAAAAGCAGCTATTGAATAAAATAGTTGTATCAGTTGTGGGATTTTCCGCTTATTTCTGTAAGCGTGTGGCTGATCAAATTCTCCCCTGGGTCTAGTTGTATATATCAATATATGTGAGATGAGCTTTTTATCTTGTTATTAATGCTTGTTAGGACGTGAAATGCCATCCAAGTGGTTTCGTCTTGTTGATAAATATCCAAATACCTACAATGAGGTGTTGTTTCTGTCTGGCCCTATTGTTACGTTAATTAATAATACTGTGGGTGTCGCTGCTCTGGCGATGCCATTCTGTTTCCACCAGGTATTTGTTTATTCATACTTCTTAATAACTCAAGTGTGGTATTCTTCTGTCTCTTTTATTTCTCGGAGTAACAGCTGTGTTTTCAATTATGTCCTGCGACGCTTTAATATATATATGTTCTGCACACCGAATCCTTCCGTTTGAACATGCTTGTAATTTGAATTTCCCAAATGACCATTATTTATATAGGCTTAAAAGCACTGGGTTACTGGGGGAAAAGCTTGGCTGAATTAAGGTAAGAGGGGAATTTGAAAAAACCATATTTTCAGCATAATCGGCTTACTGTTTGGCTATGTTGTAGGATATTTTGTTACTATCGCGGATCTCAGCACCGGTGTCTTTACACAATTGGATGCATCTGTAGTAAGTTTTGTGATATTATCTTCCTTTTTTGAATAATGTGCCTTGTGAATACATGTTGTTTACGCAGTTCAGTTCCACTGCAGTGTACGGAACATATGTGCGAAATGCATTTAAATTATCATGACACTGGATCACCTAAGCAGTGGAGGAAGATCAAATTTATTTCCGCTAGGTTTGTCAAACATTGCCACTCTAAAAGAGTGATGAGTCATCTAACTCCTTACCTTTTTCTGCATCATTGGTGAAGTGAAATTATCTGTTCGAAAACTTGAAACATGTAGTATCACTGGTTTAATCGTTGAAAATGGGCCTAATTTTTAATAATGAAAGTCTTATTGTAAGGGTTTTCGTAGTGGTTTTGAAAATGACTTGAAATCACTTTATTTTTGACGTGGGTGTATAATACGAAGTGTTTAACAAAGTTAGTGTTTATGCAATTTTTTTCATAAAAGTTTATTTCTCACTCGCGTTTTAAACGAAACTGGATAGTATGGTGGTTCATGAGATTTAAATGTAGTGGTGATCGACAGCTATCTCAACCATGAAAAGGAAATATCACCGGGGTATTAGAGTTTCCTTTTAGTTGTACTGTCTATTAATTTTTATCTGCAATTTCGCTGTTGTGTATATCTGCGACGCCTATTCGTCAACTATTGGCTGCATTCTGCATGAGAAACTGGTTTTAGTTCGCTGCAATCCCAAGCCACATAACTTCATGATATCATTTGATGTGGCCTTTCTTACAAGAATCCTGATTTATGAGACAGTAGACGTTTGTCAACATTCTCCACTTTTTCACCTGTCAGTGTCGGAATTCCAAGCATATATGTCCCAAAATGTCTAGCTGCAACTCAAGTACGCTCTTCACCTTCAAGCAGGTGAAGTAGGAATACAGAATGCACTAGAAGATATTCTTTTCTTATTCAGGGGGATACGTCTGCAGCATACAATCAACGAAACTTATCACTATGAGTATCGTATGTACTAATGAAAGTCGCGTATTCTACCTGTTTGGACTACTCGGTTATGTACATGAAAATATAGAGTTTACCCTGGAAAATGTTTCCTTTTCTGTGCACAGCTCTTAAAAGACTGAAGTCTCCAAAGATCCACTCGCCTAAAGCCTACGTGTACTGGGATATACCTAAGTTTTGGTCCAATCAGCATGAACGAGCATCGTGTGAAACATTGTTTTACAAAGCTGAGTGAATGTGGTCCAGTGAAAAACTGGGGAAAAAATTGCTGAATTTTAAAATTACCCTGAAAAGTGATTTATATCCACATAAGTTCTTTAACAAGTACAGAGGGTTAGACGATATGAATTCTCTATAGCTAAACCGGCGTTTCCAAAGTGCTAAATGTTCCACTCATTTTGATGCTGAGGTTATCTGCAGTTTGTTTCAAGATGTTCAGAAATGTTAACTTGGTTTATACAGTTGATTAATTTTCTTGGAAAGCCTAATTTACGGCTACATTTCAACCAGCGACTTTTAAATACTAAGTTTGATTATCGGCAATTAATAAGTTTTGGTGTCTACTTGTCTTATCATGTATATTGCATTATTGCAATGTTAAAGTTCGTAACCCGAATTTCATTTTAATATGGTTGTGTCAGCATTATTATTACTCTTATTACCAATAATACCACTAATAAATTCAAATGCTTTAGTGAGATTTCGTGACTAGTGGTATACAGCAGGTTGAATGTTCGGACATTGGCTTGTGGTGGCCCTAAGTCGTGAATTGTCAGAAGATGGAATTCATGGGCTGATCATTGAATTGGTTCCCAGTGGCTTAATGGCCCATGAGTTTACCTGGATTCGAAACCCAGTAGGCACTTACTGCTGAAGCGGAGTTCCAAACTAGGACATAACTGCCAGCTGTCTACTACTCCTAGCTTGTCTTCCAATGGTCCTCTAACCGATATCAGCTCATAATGAAATCGTGAAATCCATCAAATCAAATCCCTGCAGACCAACACTCAAATTTAAATGTGTCAAGTCAAGAATTATTACATACTTACTATTTTATTGGTTCAAGGGTTGCGCTATCTACCTAGAGATATAATGATAGAACGAGATTGTCATGTTTAGAATAGAGCAAAAAAGTAGTTGGGGTTTGTGAATTTCTGGTAGGCCGTAGAGCTAAGGAATCATTGGTTCAAAATTGTATCGGTGAGAGAGAAAAAAATGAAAATTTTGAGCCAATGAAATGAAGTCGGAAACTAGGAAAACATCCGAAAAAAATAAGTTTGTTTGAATCTTAGTCCTATCCAACTTGAGCGACTAATGTATAATTTCAAGTTCCACATTCCTTGATTCAATTCAGATACATCGTCAACTGGACTAAAGACATGATACCAAAATCACTGAATGACTAGAATAATTTCGAATTATGTTAAGATTTAATTGTGCGCATCAATTCACAAAATGATAGCCGATACAGTCACATCATCTACGCAAAGAATATTTCATTCATTTGAACTAGGTGAAAAAAAGGAATATCTTGTTAACTCGACTAGACAGAGGTATATGCGCTATTGCACAATTAAATAGACGTGATTATTTTGGTAAAATCTTGAATGTTCTCAGACGAAAACAAATTTCAGAGACAGAAGTAGTCAAGAAAACAGGTGACACACAAATTCCCTGAGATTACTAAAGCTGTCACTAGTCTGAAACGAAGCAAAGCAGCAGGACCCGACGGAATGACTCCAGAGGTACTTAAGGACAGTGAGGATAATGTACTGTCTGCCTTAATTCAGGTACTAGGCAGCGTCTGGGAATCAGAGAAAGTCCCGTCGGGTTCGTGTAAATGACTGATTATCCCCAAATACAAAAAGGAGACGCCTTCCAGTTATAATTACAGGGGGATTAGCTTAACTAATATAGTATCTAAAGTCTTAGGCTCAATAATCATGCGTAGACTGAGTGGTGCTCGGGAAGCACAAACACGTGAGAGCCAGGCAGGCTTTAGACCAGGAAGAGGGTGTATTGATCATATCTTCACCCTCCGACAGATTCTAGAACATAGGAATTCCTACCGGTGTCCAACAGTCATTATATTTCTTGACCTAAAGGCAGCATTCGACTCTGTCGACCGGGAAGTTCTCTGGAGATGCTTGGCTGTAAAGGGAATTCCAAGAAAATATATTGCATTGATTAAGGCACTCTACTCGTACTCATACAGCCAGGTGAGGGCTTACGGCGAGCTGTCATCTGAACTGATGACGACCAGTGGTGTCCGTCAAGGATGCCCATTATCTCCTTTTCTAATCAACTTCATCATAGATGTGTTAATGGACTTAACCCTAGGTGACTTCAGCGACTCAGGGATTGACTTGCTACCGGGAAATAATCTCGTTGACTTGGAATATGCAGACGATATAGTCCTTCTAGACGAAGACGCTGACGAAATGCAGAGTCTTCTAAACACCTTGAGCCGCAATCTACGAATGTTTGGCATGCGATTCGCTCCCGCCAAATGCAAGATGATGTTACAGGACTGGACTACATCGACGCCTAGTTTAAAAATAGGAAGTGAAGTGGTAGAGCACGTTGACCGCTTCACTTATTTGGGAAGTACCATCAGCCCCAACGGGTTGATCTCTGACGAAATCTCAGCACGAATACAAGGGGCTCGTTTCGCATTTGTTAGTTTACGCCGACTCTGGCGTAGACGAGATGTTCGACTATCGACCAAAGGGCGGGTGTACTGCTCATCAGTCCGCTCCGTCCTCCTTTATGGTTGTGAGACCTGGCCACTGAGAGTGGAAGACATGAAAAGACTAGCTGTCTTTGATCATAGGTGCCTGCGTTCTATTTCCCGTGTAAAGTGGCATAATAAGGTGAGCAACATGGAGGTTAGGCGTAGAGTTCTAGGTAAACAGGGGAAATCAATCGACGAAGTCGTGAAGCTACAAAGACTGAGATGGTTAAGACATGTGTTACGTATGCCTTGTCATCGCCTCCCTCGACGAGCAATGTTAGCGGATATAGGGTCAGGCTGGAAATAAGCTAGTGGCGGTCAAACAAAAACCTGGCCTCACCAGTCAATGAAATCCACAACAGTTGGTCTAAGCCACGTAGAAAGGTGTAGACTTCCAGGCTGGGGTCATCGGGACGGTAAAAATCTATGGTTGGAAACAATTGGTGACATGGCTCAAAACCGTTCTCAGTGGCTAGCGCAGATGCATCCACTCCCTGTGACTTATGATCTTCAATGAAACTGTTTTGTATTTCTTTATTACTCCTTTGTCTCACACCTCTGCTCACTGTTTCTATTATGCTTTTCGTGTACTTTCTTCTCTTGCTTCGCGTGCTACACGGAATGTAGCGACTTGAACTTCCGCACATTTGTGCAAAGTTCTATGTCGAAAACAGACAGACAGAGACAGATCTAGAGTCCTAGGTTCAATAATAATGCGTAGACTAATCGATCCACGGGAGAATCAGGCAGGCTTTAGACTAGGAAGAGGGTGTATTGATCATTTCTTTACCCTTCGACAGATTATGGAACATAGTCATATTTGCCTTGGGCGTCCGATAATCGTTATATTTCTTAACCTAAAGGCGGAATTCGATTCTGTTGACCTAGAGGTACTCTGGCGATGCTTGGCTGTAAAAGGAATACCAAGAAATTGCATTGCACCAATCAAAGCACTCTACTCGAACTCATGCAGCCAGCCAGGTGAGGGCCTACGGCGAGTTGTCATCTGAAGTGGTGACAACTAGTGGTGTCCGTCATGGATACCCACTATCCCCATTTCTATTCACTTTCATCATAGATTTACTAATGGACTTAACTGTAACTCACTTCACAGGCAGACAAATTCTTGAAGTGAGTGATATATGATTGATTATTAACGCCAGAATTCTATGAGAAGTTGGTAACCTCTGAATGTATCATTCCTCTACTCAAAGTGCACCAAGCTGGACATACATGCTTTGCCGCAAGTAAATAGTAGAATTCCTTAGACCATTGAAGAGGCAAGTTTGTAGTTGTTTCTTGATCATATTAATGGTATCGTAGTCAGATATATGCTAATTGTTTACTAAGGTTTCGTCCAAAGGAAACACTGCGTTACATATATATATATGATGGGCTAAATAGTTTGCATATATACATATACTTAATCATTACCACAACCGGTGTGTTATCACGTGGAGTAACTTAGTTCAAATTAAAAATAAAATAAAATTCTAATAAATTGACCTACATTTATTTTTTTAAATGTAAACCTTGAGAAAACAAAGATGAAGCATGCAATTGACGAAACAAGGTCCTATTGTTGATATGTCGATGACACATTTGTAGTGGGCAACAATAAAAGTCATGCTTCCTACCTCTTCAGATTATTCAACGACGCACATACACATACTGAATTTACTATGGAACATGAAAATGATGGAAAGTTCCATTTCTCTCCTTGACATTGGCGTGCGACGCCTAGAGTATGGTAGTCTCCACAGGTCAATTTACGGAAAGCTGACATGGAATGGAAAATACCTATATTTTAGTAGTCTTTGTCCAAACAGCTATAAACGAGCATTAGTCAAGACTATGTACTATAGATCGAGGAAAATATGCTATACGGCGAAACCAGAGGAAGAATTTACAATTCTCGGAAAGGTGTTAAAAAACAACGGTTATCAACAAATATGGAAGGTGTGAAGGCTCAAATAGCAAGCATATCACAGTTGAAAAGAAGCCTGTCTTCATTCAACTAGATATTAAAGGTGAAAACATTGCAGCAATGGTCAACAGAAGAATGAGTACGTTACTAGCCAGAGCCTACCCTGCAGCTAAGTTGGTTCCTGTCCATCGAACAACATGCTCTTTGGTGCAGTCAAAAGTCGAGAGACACCTTTCTCTTGTTAACTCTGTGTATACAGACTTACGTGTATCTGCGGGAGCAGTTACATCAGGAGAACAGAGGGAAGGGCAAACCTCCGATATCCTGAACATGTGTCGAAAAGTCTACTTCTCAAGGGAGCGAACTCTTATAACAGCGCTATTACCAGACATCTTGTCGATACGGGTCATGAGGTGGAAATCGCAAAATCCTTTAAGATTATCAACAGACAGAGGAGCTCAATTCTCCTCAAGTTTGCCGAAGCTATTTCTATCAAGTGCTTGAAACCAGATTTATGTGTTCAGAAAGAAGCAGTTATTAATCTTTACCTACCCTGACTGGTAACTGGATGTCTTTATTCTCTCGCTTTCATTTGATTACGTAATCTCTGGCTTTATCCTCACTCTTTCGACATAGTGTAATTTTGATTTAAGTTGGACTCAGTATATTGTTACTTAATTTATTAGTCACTCATCATTTTACGTACCTCTCGTCTTTATTACATAACTGCTTTACTATTGTATGCGTACATTTATTTTGTTTAAACTTGGATTGGCTGTGTAAAAAACTGTGTTAGTGTAATTTTCTGAGCACTGTTCACCAATTGTGGAACCTTCTGTCAACTGACATCATGGAAAAAAGAATTTGCAAGTATGTCAAAACTTTTCTGTACATAAACGTCATGATTTATTTAGGCTGTAGGCAGTGGCTGATGAGAAGCCAACGAAATAAGCAATGATGGTACCGTCACCTTATTCTGCACAAAGCTCGACTGTTGTTCTTGCTTTATTCAAATTTACGTAAAGGGTAATAAATGCATGAAACTAGAATGTGTTGTGTAGTTATGTATGTTGATAGGCTTCTTGTTTTCATCTTGACCATCATAATCTTCCTGTGTTACACATACTCTTTTCTTCTCCTTCACAAAATTCTTATTTAGCCACCTGAAAGATTACGAACCGTTTTATTGGTGATTTTCACAATCATAATTATCCCGCTGTGTTTGGTTTCACAAGTACAAAAGCTTCTCAGGTTGAATGTTTTCACCAGCCTTTTCTACGGAGTGGTAACTTTTCATGTGAGTATTTATTATTTTTTCGTTATTGATGGCATTTCCAGGTTGAGTACAGTTCTTTTTAATGATAGTCGATAAAGGTTTTATAGTTTTCTTCAGGTTGACATGAAAGTGTTACGCTTATTTAGCTAAAAGAAATGATATTTAACCGTAGGTCTCTGTTTTTAAACAGTTCTACACCCTCCACTTTGATCTTATAGAGATGGTGATCTGGTAGTAGGATAAATCCGTGCACAAAGTATTTTTCATCATTCATTAGTTAGGGATTAGTGCGTCGGTGGCACAATGGTTAGGACGCTCGCCGACCATGCACATGGTCCAGGATTCAATCCCCGGCTGACACACCTCTTTACCTCGCTAAACCATAAATAAAGCTGGTAGAGAGGAAAGATTGGGTATGAGGCTAGCAACCCCACCCTGTAAAAATAAAAACACTGCTACAGAAACTTCACGCCTCTAGCTTGAAGCCCTAGAAAACGATATGCTCGCACTTACTTCTTAAACTCGAACCCTCCCTTAAAAGCTTCGAAGACCCCAAACAATTTGCCTACAGATAGGGTAGGAGTACTTTAGACGCTGCAGCCGTCTTACACAACAGTATCGTCTCATCATTAGATAAAGGTGCCAAATACGTCCGCTGCACGTTTCTTGACTTCACTCCTGCTTTCGACTCTGTACCCAGATGTCTTTTGCTAAATAAGCTCTCCATGACACAAACCGAGTCCTGGGTCATTAACTGATTGCATTCCTACTTTTCAAACAGAATGCAGTACACCGTATACAAAGACAAATCTTCCTCTCCCGTGCTCACTGAAGCTGGTGTCCCCCAAGGTGCTGTACTCTCCCTACTTCTCTTTTCTTTCTTTCTACATGACCTACCATCTTCAAATGACATTAATTTTGTCAAATATGCCGATGACCTAACTGTATCTTTGCCTGTCAAATGTCAAAGTGACTGCTCTAAACTAAATGGCTTTTTAACAGGAATCAGCCAATGGTCCAAGGAAAACGGTCTCACCTTAAGCCCCTCCAAATCCCAAACAGTTAATTTCACCTTTAGGCACAAATCTGACCCAAGCAAACTGGTTAGCACTCACAAGATGTGCAACATAGATGGCACTGAAATAGAAACCAAGTCGGAAATTAAATATCTTGGAGTCACTCTATCTTCTAATCTTTCCTGGTCGTCTCATTTCTTGATGACTTCTAAGAAAATATTCCGTCCTACCTTCTACATCAAGAAGTTAAGACATTCTGGTGTAACCCAACCCTTACTCCTACAATTCGTTAACCCTTGCATCCTGCCTATTATTCTCTATTGTTCCCCCTTAGTTTTTCCAGGGCTACTGAAGAAAGACTATACCTCATTATGCAGGATGTTAAAGGTTGTCAGCAGGGTAAGCAGTGTGCCACTTAGCCAGCTTGTTACTATTCTGATGGACAGGCACATGGACTCATGTGAAAAATGGGCAAAATCCATTTTATCTGACTCACAACACCCTCTACATTCACAAATCTCCCCTTGTATCTCTTCAGGGAAAACCAGAAGCCTATATAGTAAGTACAAAATCTCAACCATATCCTACTTAGCTCGCGTTCTGTGCGATAAAGAAAGCATTAGGCGTGATACCTATAACTTACTAAATAGTCAGTAGAACAGTGAATCTCGTATTTCCAACTCATATCATTTATAGGTACAACGTTTTCTTTCTTTCTTTTCCTTTTCTCTCTTTTTTTCTTTTATGTGCTGTTTTGTTTCTCTCTTCCTTACAAACTCTACTTAAAACATTCTTGTTCGTTCTTTCACACTCTGTATATCTCGTCCATTTTGTTACCGCTTACGTCAGTAAATATGCAAATAGCGCCTACTTTTCTAACACCTTCAAACAAACTGTTTAAAATTTTGGCTTTGCTACCGACATCCCAATATGTTGTTGTCATAATGAACTGAGTTACCCTTAATCTATGGGGAATTTTATTTATTGTTAATGTACTAACTGGATGCAGTACTGTAGTAAAATGCTGAGAATTCCATTCTGTATCACAAGTACTGTTTTTGAATAAAGCAAACTATTATTATTATTATGTTCCACTGGGAACGTGAAGGAATAAAAAAAATTAGGATTAGAAATTCATGACGGGTGTAGCTTAGTTACATAACATATAATGCGTCGGTGGTACAACGGTTAGGTCTCTCATCAACCGTGCACATGGCCTGGGGTTCGACTCTCCACCGACGCACACCTGATATCAATGGTCAGCCTGCTAAATGTTTGGGCTATCGATATCACATGCTGAAAATTCCATACTTGCAACAAAAATACGGTGTAGAATCAAGCTATAATCACAAATAAAAAAATATTTTTATTCCATTGGATTGTGAGTGAAACATGACGCTTCGGTAGCACATCTCTACTTCAATATATATGCCTTTTCAGTCTATTTTTATGTCTAATAACACTATTGTCGATAAGTTTTCATCTCCCATTCACATGATCCTCCTTATGTCATCCGCAGATACTCAACTCGTTGTTTTTCATTCACCTTCTACCCAAGGACTTGACGCGTGATTTTTCACCCAATGGTCTCTTCGGTGTGTGTCCGATTCGTCTCTATTTCCTACTACATATTTATTGGGCAACAGGTTGTACGCTAGTTCACTATAAGAGTTCCTTGTTGCTTGTCTCTCCTTTCTGATCGACCATGCGATCTTCAGTATTGGGCCAATAAAGGCAGCTGTTGATGTGAAAGTCTTTCATAACCTGTTGAAAAGTCAGAATATTTAAAAATGATATGCAATGTTAAACGTTCATATGAACTGTGGTGAAGATTTTACGGGATAGTTGCAAAATAATTGGGCCCCGAGTGAGAAGTAGACTTTTATTTGTAGAATCTCGGTGACATTGAAATAAGTAATTTCAACGTTTCTTTCTGGCAATCTGGTTCGAACTTCTTGAGGAAAATTAATCGAAATTAACATAACAGAGGTTTGTATATAAAAAAGGAACATCTCTTGTATTTTAAAATCTTTGTCCAACCATATGAGTCATGAAACAGTCATCAACATGTATAATAAACAAACAAAATTGTTTAAGCTGTGATCAAAATTTGACCTCAGATTTACAAATATTGTTCTACTTTTTATGAGTTGATCACAGATTGATATCAGTTAGAGAACCGTTGAAAACCAGCCAGGAAGTACTGGACAACTGTTTCATTAGCCTAGTTTAGGAATCATTGGCAGTACGCATCCACACCATGGGGTTCGAACCCAGGGCCTTCCGGTTACAAGGCAAGCTAGGTCGTATGCCATTCAGCCAATGGGACCCGATTCAATGGCCAGTCCGTGAATTCTAACTTTTCAAACACTTTAAACATAGTGTACTTTGCATCAAAATTTTCGTGATTACGTTCGACTTAAAATTCATGGTCGTAGATAACTGAGTACGAAAATATGTGTGTATGTTTGGCATACGATGGTGTGTGTGTGTGTATGGGTAAACACTTGTAAACATTTATTAGCCCCTCCATAAGGAAGATATAGAGAATCGGGAATTTAGACCAAGTATGATTAATTAGTGATACATATCCACCTTTTATTTATTAATCAGGATTTGGCATGCATCAGCTAACATCACACCTTCACGCCTGTTCAAACTGTTACTATCTAGAATTTTATGATTAGATGTATTTTCAAAATTGTGGTGTTTAGGATTAGAGTTGAGTTGAAGCACCCTGTTGAACCTATTGATTTGTCTTCTTTTTGAGGATTGAACTGCTTTTTTATACCTTCAGGTTCCCAGTGAAACATAGGGCTTCAGGCTAGAGGCTTGAAGTTTCTGTGGCAGTGTTTGTTTTTACAAGATGGGGTTGCTAGCCTCATGACCAACCTCTCCTATTTACGAGCTTTATTTCTGGCTTAGCGAGGTAAAGAAGTGAGTCGGCCGGGGATCGAATCCCGGACCATGTGCATGGTCGGCGAGCGTCCTAACCTCTGTGCCACCGACTCACACAAAAATATGGAACCCTTCACGATTTTGCGTGTCATCCTTGCGCAGGGGCCATTCTAATCTTCTCTGTATCGTCCCAATTTTAGTATATGTATCGCTGAAGGGAGTATTGAGCTGCTTTAATTTCGATTAATTTCCGTGAAGAAGTTTGGACCAAACTGTCGAACGTAGCGTTTGCAGTTATTTATTTCAATTTCGCTGAGATTTTACAAATATTAGACGTTATTCAATTTTCAGTTTAACTGTGCTTGACATAATACACTTGAATTTTATGTACTGAAATAATATAAAGTGCTATTACTAGCGTCTCATATGCTGAAAATATTGTTGAATAGCGTTCGCCCACTGGTTGTGCCAACACAAGCGTATCAAGAAGTCAGGTCGACAGTTGTGCTAATCATTCGTGCATAGTAAATTTCTTTGAAAAAAGTCGTCAGATTTTCTAGACATTTTCTTGGGAGTTCTTGATGATATTATGAAAAAGGCGGATAAAATCTAATCTACCGGCTGATTTCTAACAGCTAACACTAGCGTAGATGCATACATACGTCCAGAACGCGTTTTATTTGAAGGCTCGACAGAAGTTTCGGTGGCTTCCACTGTACTAGTGTTTTGTTCGAGGACAAAGGATATTCGGTTACTTGTGTATTATTTGGAATGCTCAGTTCTAGGCTAATGGGATCGCCTTCTAAGTAGGCCGGTTTCAGACGGTCAGTGGTAACGGTGTCTTCGCGGCCTTTTTTGTCTAAGACAAAGAATTTATCCATACGTCTAATGACTATATATGGTCCGTCTTATGGAGGTTCCAGAGGGCGACGCACAGAGTCACGATGAACAAATACATATGAAGAAGTTCTCAATCATGGGTGAACAAAGACGTCTTTGGATTGTGGTCGAAGGAGAGCAGGTTTAACTGAACTCATTGCGTTTGTAAACCTGCTGATGTATGAGGTGTAATCTACCGCTAGTAGGAAGCTAGAAGGAGAAACAAACTTACCTGGCAGTCGTAGTGTTGTGCCATATACTAGTTCGGCAGCAGTACAACCGGCATCGGCTTTCAAGGCGTTTCGGTATGCCTAGGAGAACTAACGGTAGTAATTCAGTCCTATGTGTATTGTTTGCAGCTGATAACCCAGCTTTCAACTGTTGGTGCAGACGTTCCGCCATACCATTAGCTTGAGGATGGTGGGCTGTTGTTCTAAAACGCATACAACCTATGATTTTAGTCAAGGCGGAGAATAAGCCGTCTTCGAATTGCTGCCCTCAATCAGTTGTTATGGAGGATGGGCATCCAAAGTTCGCGATCCATCGTTCGATAAAGAAGCATGCGACTGTTTCAGCAGATACATCCTTGAGGAGTACTGCTTCAGGCCATCGTGTGAAACGGTCGATGCAGGTTAAGATATAGGTATATCCATGAATTCTGGAAGGGGGCCAACCAAATCTACATGAACGTGTTCGAAACGAGCATAAGGGCTAAAGAAGTTGCCAAGAGGGCTTTCGATGTGTCTTACTACCTACTACCCTGCACTTTTGGCAAGCTAAACACGTGTGTGTCCATTCCCTTACTTGTTTATTAATACCGGGTCAACAAAACCAACTAGTTACGAGCCTGACGGTAGCCCGAATACCTGGGTGGGATAAGCCATGCAACGTATTGAAGACGTTACGGCGATAACTTTTAGGCACTATGGGGAGAGGGGTACTCGTGGAAATATCACAGAATAGTATCTCTTCCCATACCTAAGGGTTTCTTGGCTAATTGCAGTGTTGTTTTTGACAACTCGTGTTGAAGCTCAGTATCTTCTTTTTGAAGACGAGCCAGTTTCGTAAGGTCTTTGCCATCGATTTGGTTGAGGGAACAAATGCGCGACAAGGCATCTGCCATAGTGTTGTTCACTCCGGATACATGGCGAATATCCGATATAAACTGTGAGACGCAGTCGAGTTGTCGTGATTCTCTAGGTGAATACTTATCTGAGGTGGAGTTCAGAGAGTAGTGGTTGTCAGCCACATCAAAATTATATAAAAACACCGAAGGGCCTAGCTCGACGGTGTAGCCAGTTTGACTCGGTTCACAGAGTCCAATCAGTTTAAACTATCTGATTTCTGGTATACAACCAGTCATCCCAACCAATCAATAGTATGTAATTTCACGTATTTATGTTTGTTCTCTTGATTACCACCATTTATTTGGTATCAAGCAGATCCTCATACTGTGTGGTGGTTTCAAATAATTTCAGTTTCCAAAGGATTTCACTTTCTCGAACTGTGTTAATCTCGTATTCTCGATTTTGAGCCAATACTGTAATTATTTATCAATCTATAACCATATTCCAAAAATTACTTAATTCTCAGGATGCATTTCATAAAGGCACCCAGTAATTTACTTTTTTTTTATTGAGACTACACTACAGATAAAATAGGTAATTTAGTTGATGAGATACCTGAGACACACATATATTATGCGTACATAGCCAACATCTGTCCTGATTCGATTCACTGTTAGTTAATGTAAGACCAAGTTCTCAGATAGCGCTGATGCGCCGCTGCTGACCAAATCACGAAATGGCAGAAGTTCAGGGGAGGTGCAAAAGACAATCGATTGCAACTTTGATCACGGATTGACATTGGTTAGAGAGCCATGTAGTTACTACTGGGGCTGTTCATCACTACGCACCCCCATCATCACTTCACGGCGTATCGAACCTATGGGATTCAGGTCACAAGGTTTGCTTGTTGACTATTCAACCAGTGGTTTAACTGTGGCGCTATAACTTGAACAGTTGGATTCCTTCCCAGTGACTGAATGACCAACGAGTTCGCCTTGTAAACAAAAGGTCCTAGGTTCGATTCTCAGTGAGCTATAGATGCATAATAGGTGAGTATTGACTGATGAAGGGTCTCAAACTAGGATGAAACATCTGTGTCAGCACATTTTGGTTTTCGATGATTCGCCTACTGATATCAGTCGGTTATAAATAACATAAAACTGAAAGTAAGTGAGCGGTGCGATGATTCCATTTCTGCTGTGTCGTCACCCTTGGAACACACAGTCTCTTTTTTTGTCTCCTCTTCTGCGCTCACCTAATAAGATTTTCTGACGATTACATTTTTTATTTTGAGTTTTCATGCTTTCCATCATTGGTTTCTGTGTAGATATTACGTTTGTGTGTGTGTGTATGTGCGTGGCGTTTTTTTTATATAAACGATTATATTATGCATCAGTAGTGTGTTTCTTCTCTATGAGTTGTCTTTAAATGCTTACCAATCCTTTGTTTTAACATTTTCTCAACGTGAAATTTCGCCTTATATTCCAGATGATATTTGTTCTGGGTCTACCTCGATTAATTTCCAATATGCCTTGGGGACAAATGAATTGGTGGCGACCAGCTGGTTTAATTGAATGCATTCCCATATTCTTGGCTTCAATGTTTTGTCAAACGTGAGTTTTAAAGTCTTTTAGTTCATTTTCTTTTTTTTAAAGGCGATTTTAGAAGACAGACAAAAATTTCACAAGATGACATGGTATCGTCATTGCGTGGTTTCTCTACACTCGCTTTACAACCTAACCTGGTTGGCTGACAATCATCGCCAGGAAGCCTCACCTGACCTAGATTTCGTGCTAGTTGGCACTCATTAATCAACAAGGCGTATCTGCAACCTCATGTCACGCAGTGTGCTCCCCTGCAGTGAAAGACGTTACCACTGGGCTATTCAAGCTCGTCACTGACCCCCTGTAGGATTGTATTGGATATTTCTGATTGGAGACTAGTCAGCAATCTACAATCTCAGAAGGCACGTGAGTTGTTTTGACGTCACAGATATACGCCTTGCTGATGAGTGCCAACTAGCACAAAATCTGGGTCAAGTGAGGCTTCCTGCCAATATTACCTTCAACTATCTAACACACCAAGAATTCACAGTGTATCGTGATACCGAGCCATTTAATAGCATGATGGCCACATGGTAAGCTTGACTGATAGAATTCAGTCTGCACCAAAGATAGGACTAGACACATTACACTAAGCTACTGACTAATGTGCAATCAAAAATACTCAGTTTCACAAAATAGAAGTTCACACTAATGACCAATCAATCATATTTAAATAGGCCAAGTAGTCAATATGGTAGGCGAAGATTGAAGTCCGTTGTTTTTTGTACACTCAGTTTAGAATGTATGTGATTAATCCAAGGTACTTCCGTCACCTTTAATAACCAACCTTGAATTAGAGTTATGTGATGAAATAACTGTGAAACAGTCATTAATTAATATTGATTTTGTCAGCCGACATTAATATAAGTGCTTTGCAATGGATGATGACGACGGATTTCTATTCAGATTAACTGCATGTGTCTTAATAACCATTTTGGAACATGTGTTCTTTGCGACGACATTGAAACATTCTGTTGGTTCTACCTATATAGGTGCCACCGCAACAGCTGCAGGTGAACTTGTCGACACAGTTTGAAGTAGAGTCCACAGAATTTCGTCCTTTATTCACTTGGGTACAGGGATCGAAAATGTTCGAGGTCTTATGGAAAGAGATACGATGCAGAATATGCACTTGACAGCTGACCGAAGTGTTTGAGCTGTCAACTGCATAATTTGATCACCTTTGAATGGTAGGTTAGCAAAAATAGCTTTCTTAGGTACAGAAGCTGCCTTTTCAAGATTGTGGTCTATCTTTACTGAGACAAGTGATAAAGATTTCTAGACAACCGTTAGCAAATAAAACTGAATGAATGTGTCGAAGCTTATCCATCAATGTGTCGCGCTTGTGTATTATTTTGCGGACCGTTCAAAACAAACATTTAACTAGGGAATATTATTACTGGATAGGAAGAAAACTGGTGGAATGAAGATATTGTCCACTACATGTCTGCTTAGGAAATATAGATCGCTTAATCGTTTCATCACCTCTCCTAGTCCTTGAAATATCCGAGAAACCGAATTTGTTATTTGATTAGAATTCGGAAGTCACTTGGATATCTGTCTGTCTGTCTATTTTCGACATAGAACTTTGCACAAATGTGCAGCAGTTCAAGTCGCCACACTCTCCATGTAACACACAAAACAAGAGAAGAAAGTACAAGAAAAGCATAATAGAGACAGTAAGCAGAGGTGTGAGACAAAGAAAGAGTAATAACGAAGAACAAAACAATTTCATTGGAAATCATAAATCACAAGGAGTGGATGCATCTGCACCAACCAGTCACTGAGAACGATTTTGTGCCATATTTGGATGAATATGACTTAAATAGAGGTAATAAAGTTCTCAATACACTTACTAATATTACCAATAATGAGTGTATCATTCATGCATTTTATTTTCTTATTGTAAACCATTCTAGTTGTAAAGCGATTGTAGAGAAACTACGGAATGAAGACATCATCTCGTGAAATTTATCTCCACCTCTCTAGGCCAGTAGTATAAGAGGGAAGGTTGGGCGGCATGAGGCTATCAACCACCCCCATCCCGTAAACATAAACACCACTGCTACCGAAACTTCAAGCCTCTAGCTTGAAGCCCTATGTTCCACTGGGAACGTGAAGGAAAAAAATATGTAGCAATAGTTAGCGGTAGAATCCAGTACTAACGATTCTACCCATATAGCTCTCGTGAGTTAGATGTCTCCGCATCTCATTGTATTGCTATTCCAAATGAAAAAGTGAATCTCCCAGACCGGTAGCTCTACCACTTTGTCGCAGTGGTTCAGCTTGCATATCCCAATGAACCAGCGAAAAACGTTGGCAGAAATAAATGTTTCTCTATGGGTTAACGTGCCAGAAGGACCTATCGGGAAGCAATTAGACTAAAAGCAGTTACTTTCATAGTTTAAGTTGCTGACATTATTTTGGGAAAAAGTCTGTGGGTGAAGTCGTACTACTGGCGAATACGACTGTAGCAGCAGTAATCACATTTCTGTCGGATGACCAGCAAGCCAGCTAGCGACATGGGGTTAGTAAAGGATCTTTCATGACAGTTGTATAGTCCTACTTACCTTACAGTGGTCTGCAAATGGCAACAAGATTTTAATGCATACACAACTGCGAAAGTCAACTCAATCAGACTTTGTGTAACTGGCTTCAAGCAGTTGTTCTCTGAGCTCTTCTGTTTCAGATAACCCGAAAAGAGATTGGCTTTCACAGTGCCGACCGAAAGATGCTACCTTGACGTGGTGGTCGGGCTTGAACACCGCAATGACCTAATCAAGCTATACTGGCTGAGACTTATGTCTCTTGAGGTTCTACCATGCCAGGCAGGTTGTTTGGATAGCGGTTAAACAAAAAGCAGCTACCTCATCCAATACCATGATCCAAACAAATTCACAAAATTTCATGCCGGATCGGCCGTGGCCCGGATTAACAACGACCGCGCTTCCTGCTGCCGTGTCACAGGGCGGGAGTGATAAGTATGCTACTGAGGCACACCAAACAAAACAGAACAAACAAAAACAGGCCGCGTGTGACCGGCCTCAAGCAGTTGTCCCCTGGGCTCTGCGGTCACGCAACCAACTTCCACGGTGTGGGCAGCCGGGAAGTAACAAACGCCCTCACAATCCGAAATGCACACAAAACCTCTCTAATCCTCACTTATCTTTGTCTTCATCTCCATTGCCTTGCCTTCCTCCCACTGATGCAACTCCTCTACTTGATGGCTCCTCACTCCCTCTTCACTCTGTGTCCACTAAAAACGACGAAAGCCAAAAAACCACCACGGATAGTCTCCTAAAGCCACGCCACCAATTTCATATAGGAGCATTTAATGTTAGGACACTTTGCCAAATAGGACAACAAGCATCACTAGCTAAGACCCTGGCATCTCGAGCCATTGATGTATGTTGTGTTTCAGAAACACGCATACAAGACCCAAGTGTGGTTATTCACCTAACCCCACCTGGCCAACAGGATGAATCTTCAAAATTCACCTTGAGGGTGTCAGGAGATGCCACAGCTAGTTCACGAGGATTAGCTGGCGTAGGGATAGCTCTGAGTACTAGGGCAGAAAAGACATTGCTTGACTGGATCCCGGTAGATAGCCGAATGTGTGCTGTCCGTCTGAACGGATCAGTAAGAAGGAGAAAGGACTGCACTACTCGCCGATGCCTTTTCGTAATCTCCGCCTACGCCCCCACTGACTGCAGTTCGGATGAAACGAAGGATGAGTTCTACCAAAAGCTGTCTAGTTTGGTGAGAAAGGCTAAACGCTCAGATATAGTCGTTCTAGCTGGTGACTTTAACGCTCAAGTAGGGAAATTGTGTCAATCTGAGAAGGATGTCGGTGGCACCTATGGAGTTCCGTGCCAGCGAACCGACAACGGTGACCGTCTCCTACAGTTCTGTTCAGATAATCATTTGTTTCTTGTAAGCACTAACTTTAAACACAAGGAGAGACACTGTTTAACCTGGCGACCCCCATCATCAAACCAACGCTGGACACAAATAGACCACATAGCAATAAGCTATCGTTGGCGTGGGTCGGTAGGAGATTGTCGCTCCTTCTGGAACACGTGTGTAGATACCGATCACGCACTGGTCCGGGCTCGTGTGTGCTTACGACTGAACGGACGTAGGAAACAGCTGGCGGTAAAACCATCACGTCCCCAGCTCGATCAGGAAACTAAATCCCTATTTGAGGAAGAACTAGCTAAACGCATATCTGAATTCGACAGCTGTGCTCACCCTGGAGAAGCCTGGAAGAATATTCAGTCAGCTATAGATACAGCTGTAAAAGCTGTGAATAAGGCAAATCCAAAGGTGAGTAAAAACCACTGGATTTCGACTGCCTCATCCGAACTGATAGATGCTAGAAGACTTATTCCGGCGAGCTCCGAATTCAATGAGGAGCGAAAGCTGCACAAAAGGAAACTTACTAAAAGTCTCCGCAAGGACCGTGAACAGTGGTGGGTGACAAAGGCGAAAGAGATGGAAAAAGCATCGGCGATAGGCAACACTAGGCAACTCTTTAGACTCATCACAGATTCGGGTGGGAGAAGGCAATTCATAAGTGAGACTATTTCTGAGAAAAATGGCTCCTTAATTAGCTCTCAGGATAGACGCCTTGAACGCTGGAAAGAACACTTTGAGGAACAATTTAACTTGCCTACAGCCACACTGAACCTCCCTGCCATCCACCACGTACCCGAATGGGATATAGACACTGGTCCGCCGTCTGTAGGTGAGGTTACAAAAGCTATCAGTAATTTGAAACGAGGCAAAGCGGCAGGACCCGACGGAATTATTCCGGAGGTGTTTAAATATGGGGGTGACATACTAGTTTGTAGATTAACTGAGGTACTAGGCAAAGTCTGGGAATCAGAGGAAGTTCCATCAGACTGGGGTAAGTCACTTATTATACCGATATTCAAGAAGGGAAACAAGTCCTCGTGTGATAATCATAGAGGGATCAGCCTAACGAACATAGTCTCTAAAATCCTAGG